CTCCCTGTATCTTTATTTGTCTTCCGTACGTCCTGAATTCCACATCCTGGTTTCCGGGACAGACGAATCAGCAGCTTTGCTGCGAAACTCCATGGTAAAGGCTGGAAAATCATGGAGGTAAATATACACGGTGTACCCAACATTTCTGAGCTTAGCGATACCGTAGGTACAGTATTGCTTTAAACTTTTTATTTTTTTTTATTTTACTACTTTTCATTCTGGAACGTTACCACTCGGAGTCAAAAGTCTAAAACGCATAAATACATCTGCTTTGCTTTCGGAGAGGACGGCTTCGTCCTTGCGGTATTCGAATTAGCATATACGGGTCCTCGGGGCTCGCTTGGAATTTCTTCACGTAGTCCACGTCACAGGATGAAAGGGAAGGATTAGAGTGAAAAGTTAGATGATATGCGAGTGGAATATCTAGTCGAGCAATGGAAGTCCTGAAGCGTGATGGAAAACGATTCGTCGTACAGTAATCTAACCTAACCTAACCTAACAGCAGATTCAAAGAAGAGTTATTAATTAATACTCCTGCTTAGCGGATTCATACAGTAGCAAACCTGTTGGCTTTTACTAATGCGATTAGATCCTTATTAAAGTAATGATGCCGCCCTGATGTATGCGCGCATCTCAAAGCTGTTACTTATGCCACAGCGTGGGAACAAAATCTGCCCTGAGACTAATTAATATTCCAAGTGAAACTCACCTTTCTAGCTACAACGTTGAAAAATATCAAGAAATCAATACTTCGCTTTAGCTTAGAAAACACTTTGACGCATAATGCAGAGCTTGATGAAAAATTTTAATAGTATATATATCTATACAGTAATTGGATAATTCTTTTTTTAACGAAATTAAATTTCCACTTCGCTCGCACCGATCCAGCATCCCATAAATAATTAAATTTTCAATGCTAGACAAGTTAACCATAACGTGAATCTTATACTAAAGAGAAATTGAAGGTGATACAAAATATTACTTCATTATTGTAAATTTACACTGACCATGGTACGCGACTGTTTTTGTTGTATCAGGTAATCACCGCGTGTAAAGTTCGGTCAAACGAATACGGCCGTATTATTTCACAACGATCCACGTACATTGGAATAAATAAGATCAAAATGCAAATCATTCTGGATTTCGTTGGGCGAAAACGGGAACGCGAGTATGAAAAGAAATGTAAGAGTAAAAATGAGTGAATTGTCAAAAGGGGTAGGTACGTGAGGGTTTCGCGTATAAAAAACACGGACCGCGCTTGGCAAGCCATCCTAGTCTGAGGTACGTAATATTATTTCGCTGAAATAAAAACCTCATGGCATAATTTCGCGAAAACATTTACTCCGTGTCGTCCGTTCCATTAAATGTTCCCTTCCCGTCCGCTGTACCCATTTGCCACGACAAGCCCGGGAAAAGGACTGTTCGCCGATGCAAAGTAGAGAGAAGTTGGGTTGAGCTCTTTAAAATTCTTTCGCCGTTCAAATTCACCACGAAAAACCCTTAAGGACCTGACTCGAATCAACAGCTGTCACATTCAACGAAAGTCTGGAAGGTTACGGTTCCCTCGGTACACCCTCTCGACGATACGTGACAATTTGATGTTATAATATATTTATAGGTACTTTTGCATATGCGTTAGTTTCGATAAAGAAATCGAAAAATTTTTTTCGTGGTTTCGTAATTTTTATACACTTTTTTCGTATCTGTCTAAGAAGAAGCAGGGAGAAAAGAGAGAGGGTTGGAGAGAGAAAAGCATAGAAAAAAATTGAGGTTAAGTCACGGTGCGGGTGCGGCAGGGGAGAAAGTCGGAGCTTAAGTCGACGGAGCCACATTATTCGAGTGCGTCTGAAAGGAAGTGTGTGGAAAAAAGAGAGCGGGAGACGAGAGGGAAGGAGGGAGGTTGAAAAGAAAGAATAAGAAAAATGCTAAGAAAAGCGACGGCGATGCCATAATTCACCTCTGAACTACGGCATGTTCCCCCCTCCCCACCCTTTCTGGTTTACTTTTCCCCTAGAGTCGTGTATTCTCATGAGAGCTACACGACATTTAATTGCCACCTCAGTCATTCCTACGATTATTATTCTTCATTCAATTAAAGTGTCATTAACTTTTTATCCCTTGCTTTACCATACCTTACCACTGTTTCAATTAATGAATAAAATTTCTCTCTCTTTTTATGTATATATCCCTTCAGCCTAAGAGATAAAGAATTCTTGGATAAACGTGAGAAAAATAGTCGCTCTCATTCTGATTTATCATCCCAGAACAATAGTTCTCGTTCTCGCAACGCAAGGACTCCCGTTTGATAATGTTTCGTTCTCGTTTTACTTCTGAACATTGAACTATATATTCTAATGGTCGACCTGCCACGATACTCGAGCGATTAACGGTGCACGTTTGCGCGCGCAGCCGAGCTTCCCTGGCTCGAGATGCACGTGCTGGGACGATGAGAGTTTTCATAAGTACGACACTTGAATAAATTTGATGGCCGACGAAAAACTTTTCTCCGAGCTTGCGAGGCACTTATCAACATAGAATGTATGATCCTCGTTAAGGAAAGTAGGAAAAGTAAATTACATACGTACACGATACGGCAGCTCGTGATACACTGAAGTGGGTATACGCATTCGTGACCCAGCTATCCTGTCAGCTGTAATAAATTTATACTATATTATTTCATTTGGATATATCATTTGGATTTCCACTTTTTTATTTTTCCACGCAATCTCATCTAACGATTGCAAAGTATTTATTACCATTTAGGGAAATATTTTTTATATTCAATACTGCGTGTTCATTCAGACGCTCGAGTATACACATTTTCTTTCAGCAGTTACATGCAGACAGTTACTAGTACTTTGGTGCAGTGGTATCTATAGAGACTTAGAAATCTTGTACCAATCTTTTCATTCCATTTGCAAGTTTTCCAGTTGATGCTTTGACGTAGATGTTATGTACTGTGACGTAATTTTTCGTATCACGGTCACAAGGCGACACCAGCTATCGATCCAGACAAGGTTCTCGCTTACCGGTTCCCTTCGAGTCGCCACCATGCTCAGAAGCTACGCTCTCGGGTTGATTCCTACGGTTACGTCAATTTTATCGAAAAGATTTTCGGTCGTTTAGTCGAGGTCTAGGTGCTCGAATCGGCCATGGAGAGATAGGCTCGACGTACAGAGTTGCCCGGCAGAGGAGAGTACCCTACGGAGACGTCTCCACGGTCTGGCAGAGGTCCGGATGACATACCGGCACCGCGTTCGAAAAGAGCAAAAGGCTGTAGAGCGAGCGGAGATAAGGCTTTTGATATGATTAAGGGCAAGAGAGGAACCCCCTG